ATTACAGCTGCACTTCCGCAACTTTCCCACTTCAGGGAAGAGAAGCTGGGAAGGGCCGGCTGCACACAGCAGTCCCTCTCCTAAACCTCAGCCCGGTCTGCGCCTGGGATAAGCCTTCCCCTCCATCCCCCCACTCCAGCCCACAGAGACGTGGGGGGAGTTCCACCCCCGTTTAGGGGAGCACCGCGATCTCCACTCTGCTCCTCGCAGAGCCATGTGTACCTCGAAGCTGTTCTGGTTCGTGCCTTAAGTTACCAACAGCTCAAAGGTGTTTTCTCTTGGCTTCCAAAGCCAAACTTGTGTTTTATTTCCAGCGACAGAGATGAATTGGTTTGCCCAAAGTAAATCTGGATTGTCTTTTCTTTAAAAGTCGCTGTGTTTTGGAAGGGGTGATGAGAGCTTTTATTCCCATGAGCTGCCTGTCCTTCCTGTGGAAACAGGGTCTCTCTACATCAGACTCTGAATGTGATGGCTGTGCATACACTCAGATCAGAGAGCCTGAACTCCTGACAAGACTTCCCTGCTGATTTTAGCTCGCCTTCTCCAGCCACTGTGCAGGGCAGGAGCAGTGGAGCCAACAGCTCCCGGTCTCCCTGGGGGCAGAGGTGGGGAGTGCTCCTCGCCCCAGCACTCCGACTGCACAAGCCAAGGGAGCCAAGCGCACCTTGTGTTGGCAGCCATGAGAGCGATGCCTGCGGCTGACGGCCTGGAGATCTGACGGATCACATTCAGCATCCGCTCGTTGGCCGGGTCCAGCTGCCGAATGATCTCGGGATCCTTAGTCACTTCCACAACAAGAGCCTCCATCGCAGCACGCAGAGCCGTGATGCAGGCAGCCGCGTTGTGGGGCATCCTCAGCTTGATCCTAGAGCACAAAGACGTTTATTGGATGTACCATGACTTCCAGGAGAGAACCTGTTACAAAAAACATTCTGCAGAGTGGCTCCTGGCGTTCAGAGGAGGCCACAAGGATGCTCCGAAGGCTGGAGCCCCTCTGCTATGGGGACAGGCTGAGAGAGTTGGGCTTGTTCAGCCTGGAGAAGAGAAGGCTCCGGGGAGACCTTATAGCACCTTCCAGTACCTGAAGGGGCTACAAGGAAGCTGGGGGGGACTTTTTACAAGGGTCTGTAGTGACAGGACAAGGGGTAATGGGTTTAAATTGAAGGCGGGGAGGTTTAGATTGGATATCAGGAAGAAATTCTTCAAGGAGAGAGCGGGGAGGCACTGGCACAGGTTGCCCAGAGAAGCTGTGGATGCCCCATCCCTGGAAGTGTTCAAGGCCAGGCTGGATGAGGCTTTGAGCAACCTGGTCTAGTGGAAGGTGTCCCTGCCCATGGCAGGGGGGTTGGAACTAGATGATCTTTAAGGTCCCTTCCAACCCAAACCGTTCTGTGACTCTATGATTCACTGAGCCAGAAATCTCCATTCTCATCTTTGAGATTCTAATTTGTCAATGAGCGGGTGTGAAATACGGGAGGCAGATTTGAAAGATCCCTAAAATATGACATTGTTAAAATGTAGCTATCCCTCTGTTTGTGTTTGGTCTGGAGATTTAACGTACTCAGATAATACCAATACGTAACCCCCAGCATCAAAACAGACAAAAATATGAAACTTGAGATTTTGAAAGCTACTGGCAACCCTCAAAAGTATTAGTGAATGCAGCTGAAGTAATTCTTCACCTCCAACTTACTGATCAGGGGAAAAAAAACCCCAACAAACCAAAAACATCCAGGTGGTATTTGGTCATGGCCATAAAATATATACTGCCAGAGGCAACCATTTCTCTCCTCAAGCTGTGTTTCTGAAACCTAAAAACAAGTTTCCTCAGCCTCTCTCTATGAGGAAGTCCAGAATACAGAGTAGCCCTTATTCACATCCCAGTTAAAGAGAAAAAAACCAGCAGTTTTTACGGAAACTGCCCAGTATCACGTGTTCAGTTCAAGCAGGTAATCTGCATGGAACAGTGCTGCCACTATCCCTTCCTCACAGGCAACAGAGGTAATGCCCTCCCAGCTACCCCGTGGCAGTGCACAGCTTGCTCCAGGGCTCCTATCCTAAGGAGACGTGTGTCTGTGTTAGCAGCCGCCTCCCACAGTCCGTGTCCTTTCCCAGGCCTGAACGTTATGAGCCCCAGGGAGGTCCGTACCAGTCATCTACCAGAATGAGCTCCCCATCCGACAGGGCTTTCTTGGAGGCAAAGAGAAGCAGCTGCAGCGGGCTCACCAACGTCATGGCTTTGGCAGAGATGGCTCGTGTTCGGATCTGCAGGTAGAAGAGGAATACGACCCTTGAAATGGAAAACAGATTCCTACACCTTCCTCTGGCCTCTGAAACCAGGGAATGTTGTAAAAGAAATAAACAACACTCCAAAAAAATCAAGGTATAATGCCAGGCAACTGCAAGAGCGCACACACAGACAAAACTGAGTGCAGTGCACCAGGGATGCAGCACTGGCTGGTGTAAAGAAAGAGCAAAAACTACCTGCCATTTAAAAGTGGGCATTTCTCCATGGCTGCATGTCTGCGATTATGCAGCTGACACTTGCGCTCTGCTGACCTAAAAGTGACCGAGGCACAGCTCAATTATCTTCCCACCCTTCGCATCGTGGGGGCTCTGATGAAAAGCTCTTGTTGCTTCTGTAGTGGGCTCCCACACACGCAAGCGTGGAAGCTGCTACATGCCCGCACAACCAGCCCGCTTTGTCATTTTATAGAAGCAAGACCTTAAGCTCGTGCTTGAGGTGAACACTTGGACACTAAGGCAGAGATAACAGCACTGACCACACAGGCTACTGCCCTTCTTTTTCCGGAGGAACTTTGGATTTCAGCCTCCCACCCTGACAGCTGCCCCTCTCCCTCCCTTCTTTCACAGAGAAGCATGATGGGGGGTGACGGGCAGAATTCGCTGTACTTGCTTGTCCTCAGGAAGAAGATTTGCTCCTGCCCAGAAGATACCACACGTACTCAGAGAAGCTGCCAGAAGCTGGAAATTGGGGCAGAAAAATGGCCACGACGAGGAGCGTTGGACTTGCAGGTGAGAGAGAGCCAAGTGCAGCAGGGAATGGGCAGCCAGGCCTCGGAGAGCAGCTTGCTTTGAGCAAGTACAGAATGGGTGGCGAGAGCTGCATGTAAATCCAGTATCACCCATTGCTCTGGTAGCCACTCTAAAGCCACCACCTCAGTCACTCTTAGTTTCCCATATGTATTTTAACTTAATAAAGCATCACTCTGAGTTCCAGGTCTTTTGGCCTTTTAGGGGAGCTCATTTTACACAGGTACTTAAGGCAGATCAAAGCTCTCTCCCACTTGGGATCCTGTCATAAAAGGTGAAGAGGCGGTGAAGCACCACTGTAGCACTGAACCACACACATGGAAATCCCAAGTTCCGCCCCAAGCCAGTGCCCAGAGGAGTCAAAATTCCACTGACTACCAACGAGGTGGATGATTTGCCATTATTAAAATGTTGCATGTCAGCAAAGAGGACTGAGAGGACATCTGCTTATACAAATAAGCAGAAAGTGTAATTCTGAACTAACCTGTGCAGAGAATGTGACAGAAAGGAAACCCCTACCACATCACCTCTGCTGGAAGACCTTGGAGGCTCTGTTACAGCAAGAGGCCTTCCCAATCCGATGCTTATTCTCCAAAACATCTTCACGCACTTTCCGGACAAAAAGAAGCCCAGCGCTGCGTGCAGCTGGTTTCAACAACAGGCGACAGAGCACGGCAGGGCCCCCCCACCATGCCGGAGTCCCTGGGCACAGGCTGGCAGCCCAAGCCCCGGCTGCGTCCTACAGGCCGGCATGGCCTTCATTCGCTCCTCAAGGGAAGGGGGAGCAGGAGCCGCGGCATTCATGGCAGCCGTCACTGGAGCACATGTGCGTTACGTGCTGAGTACACAGAATTAATGGGATGGAGGAAAAGGGGATGGGGACCCTTAGGAAGGCATCTCAGGCTGTTTATGAGATGCCTGGAGAATGGGACTTGTCCGTGGGATATGGCAAACTACCTGCAGGGCACAAAGGGAGCACCCCACTGCCATATTACGTGTTCCTCTTTCATCTCTGGATGCATAAGTAGCAGGACTGATCAGGGCAGAAATTCTCCAGTGCCTGATTAGTACGGAAGAGCTCCTAAAGAAGGTTAAGAGCTTGGATCTTTCTCCATGACCTGGCTGCTTTCACAAAACTCACAGGAACTGCCTATGCCAGTAAGACCACTACTTCTACTGACACAGGTCGATCAAAAGTTCCTGTAAGGGCTGAGGGACAGACACCCGGACCACGTAAGGTTCAACTTCCTGGGAAACCAAACCCAACCCAATCCAAGCTAAACACCACCCAGAGTATCTTTTTTTCTTATGGCTTCTTTACCAAAAAGAGGCTCTTGGACAACCTGGCAGCACGTGATCAAGAACAAATTCAAAGTCTTTACCTTTTCTCCAAAGACAAAAAACGGAGATGGGTACTTGATGTCCTGGCTGCTGAAAGGGCAGTTGACAGACGACTTGTGGATGAGAGCATTGTGCCCCTCAGTGGTAAGAATCTTCCTCTTCTCCTTGTGGTAGCAGACATTGGGGTAGACCCCAAAAGCAAGCAGGGAGATTACAACATCCAGATTATTATCTGGTCCAGTGTTGTTAAACGGTTGAGTCATCAAACATTCTGTTGACAGAGAACAGAAGACTGGCTCACATCCACAGGTCATGTAGGACAGCACAGCAGAGTTGTTTAGGATCCTGGATCAATGCATTTTCGGATTCAATCAACCGGTAGATGTGCATCTGTTCTCAATTGACCTCTGCACTCAAAGCATGTCAGTTCTACACTCAATTTTCAATTTATTCAAGGAGAGCAAAAAGCTGAAAGATACCACTACAAAGAGGTATTTTACTCTCCCATGCTTGTCAAAAACAAGGAGGGGTTTGCCCAGAATGTGCTGTACCACAGTGTGTTTCCTGTCATTTGTTTTGGAGGCAAATCTTTTGGGAGAGGTCAGAATGGATGTTTTCACCAGTTCATTTGTTACAGAGTCTCTGTTGGCTTGTTTTCAGGTCACCATGCCCAGAAATAAAGTTAAGGACAAATGCAGCAATGATCCTAGCAGCATGAGGAGAAAAAAAATAAAGTAATTAAAAAAAAAAAAAAAAAAAGAAAAGAAAAAGGAGGGGGAGACGAAGATCTGCTGAATCCAGCCAGCCATACCATTTAACTAAGCAACCTCCTCGGAACATTAGGCAAATTCAAAACCTGGTCAACTTTAAGAATGGATGGGGTTTTCTTCCTTAAAAAACTGAGTAATATGCCACACTACTCCACATCCCTCCCGCAGCACAAGCCCAGAATACCACAGGGCACACAGCACACTGTGGGGGGGTGTGGTAAGCACAGCACAGCACATTTTGGATACGCAACAAGTGAAGGAGAAAGAAAATCAGGGAGGTAAATCTCTTAAGGAGAATTACTTAACAGATTTTTTTAATCCTGCAGCCCTAACCTGGGCCTTTAAAACCGTCCTGTGTTGCACCACAGCCATCTTCTGTACCACAGATACTTCTCTGGTTTGGGCAACCAGGAGAGAATGAGTCAGCACCAGCGTTTCATCTGAACGCAGCTGTAAAGGCACAACAGCTTTATGGTAAATCCGCGATAAGCCTCTGCGCTAGCGTGCTCATCATACGTTACCGTGATGCATTATTTCTCATCTCGGAATGAAAAATGCAACATTAAATCACTATGTCCAAGCAGAATCACCTTCGGGGAAGCCAGAACTGAGAAGTATCTCTTTCAGCTGGACTTTTGCTTCCCAAGTCATTCTAAGAGTAGGCATGCTGAGTCTTTTGTGTTCGCAAAATCTTTTTTCTGCTTCTTCACCACCCATTCTAAAAAACAAACCGACTCGATTAGAAGTCTGACCAAGAAGAGGAAAACTGCGACCATCCGGTTGTCATAGCGACCCCTGACCTATCCAGTCTGGTCACAAAACTGCCCACCCTGTGTCACCCATAACTTCCCATCAAATTTTGTGCCGAGATAGCATACCTTGCATCATCCCAGGCTTGGAAGACAGAGAGCAAAGCAACATGATCTGAAAACCTGTTCCCAGCAAAATTCCTATGGACGTAACCCAAGCGTTTGCCTTCACTGATGAAAGGTTCAGGGAAACAGGTGGCCGCAGAGATGGTACAAACAGCATCTCCCACACTGAAAGAAACCACACAAGGTGTCAGGATAGCGTTTATTCACAGAACAGCTGCCAGCAGCTGCTACAGGCTGTTGACAACAGGCAAAAACTCTCCACTCAAGACTTTAGTCACCTGGCCCTTAGCTACCAGAGCTATTCACAGAGACACCTCCCCAGAAGTGGATGTTAAATTTGCTTCAATTTCAGTACCATCACAACAGCAAGGTTCACAAGCCCTTTGTTTATCTTCCCACCCTTCCCCCCATCCACACCCCATCTTCTTCCAGTGGAAAGAATCCTCCAGCCATCACAATTACAAATAACAGGTCTTTACTCCTGATAAAGCAAGACATATGGATCAATTTTTCTTCTTATCTAGCTGTCAAATTTCACATCTCCCCACTTCAGCATTTTGAGTTCCACTCTTAATTCATAAGCATTCAGCCACTACGGGTTGCTTGCAGTTAACTCCGAATTTCATGAATACTTTGTTCCCTATACTCAAAGTTATTTATCCTCTGCTCTCATGAATATTCAGTTTCCTATCTCCAGTTGTAACATTTATTGCTCACCTAGACATATGGCTTTTTTCTCTTGCAGAGTTCAAGTTTAGAGGCTCAGGAAATCAGACAAACAAGAAAAAGACCACTCAGACTACTAAACTTACTAAAAAATACAGCCCATTATCATCATCTTGCCAAGACGAGGTTCAATGGGAAGCTTGGCTAGGATTCTTCCAAGAGGTGTCAACTCATCATTGGAATCCAGGGCATCAAGCTCTGAAACAAGATTTCTTATTATCAAAGATGGTTAGCTAATCCCAGAAATCCTTAGATAAGAATTTCACATTTTTAATAATTGTGTTTACAGAATTACACAATCACTAAGGTTGGAAAA